TTCAACTTGTTGATTTCAAATAAATCATCCCTAGTCATGATAATATCGTCTACATACACTATCAAAATAGCTATTTTACCTTCGGTGGAGTGCTTGAAAAATAAAGTATGATCAGCTTGACTTTGTGAGAAGCCGTGCCGCCTTACTGCATTCCCAAATCGTTCAAACCAAGCTCTTGGTGATTGCTTTAGCCCATATAGGGATTTTTTTAACCTGCAAACTTTGCCTCTTCCAAGACTTTCTTCAAAWCCTGGTGGTAGGTCCATATATACTTCTTCCTTTAGGTCTCCATTCAAGAATGCATTCTTGACATCGAACTGACGAAGTGGCCAGTTAAAATTAACTGCAAGGGAAAGAAGTATTCTGATAGAGTTAATTTTAGCAATAGGAGCAAAAGTCTCTTGGTAGTCTATACCATGAGTTTGGGTAAATCCTTTTGCTATGAGTTTTGCTTTGTATCTCTCCACACTTCCGTCAGCCTTGCACTTTACTGTAAACACCCATTTGCACCCGACTGTCTTCTTGTCATGGGGTAGATCAGTAATACTCCATGTATTACTTTTTCTAAGAGCATTCATCTCTTCTATCACAGCTAACCTCCATTTCGGATCATTTAATGCTTCTTGAACAGTTCTTGGCACATACAGATTAGAAATCCTAGACACAAATGCTTTATGAGTATGTGATAATTTCTCATATGACAAGTATTTTGCAATAGGATGTTTTGTGCAAGTTCGGGTACCTTTTCTTAATGCAATTGGAATGTCAAGATCTGAAGAGGACAGATTAGGCAAATCATTAGATAAAGACGGAATAGGGGTAGAAGAAGGATTACTCTGAGTTGTAGGACCTTCACTCGGCAAATTGGATTGGACTTCTGCTGTAGGAACAACTGGAACAATAGTACTTTTGTGAAACCTCTTCCTGGTATAAAGCTGAAGCTCAGGATGAGGATTGTGATCCGTTTGAAGTACTTCTCCCCTGTCTCTGATAACGTAGTATCTGGCAAATTTGGATTAAGAGT